CAGAAGTCGGGGGCCGTCAAGAGTGTACGTAAAACGTACAAAAGAATTTGAGTACTACGATGCTGGTTCTAGAGTACGAGTCCTTCCATTCTAGACTCTTGTCAACTCATGTCTCAAGTGAGACTGGGCCTTATGAAGTCGCCAGGAACCGTCTAGTTTGTAGGGTCAGAGTCGTAGCTTGTGTTGAACTGTGATCAATTGAAGTGAAGCATTCATAAAATAAAAGAATTGCGGCCAAAGTGTTGCGCTTCAGCTCAATCCTTTTGAGTGTCTCACGGTCTTGCCACGGCGAAATGGAGCCTTCATATCAGCGCCGTTGCATGATCCCTTCAGCGATAGACTACATAGGTTTTGTCTTATAGCCAGGAGGGATAATCTTGATTATACCACTGACTGACTGGCTCGACTTGGAACATTTTTGTGATTCATAGTCGAGTCTTCAGAGGTTATCGTAGGTCTCTCGCTTATGGTTATGTTGTCAACTCCCCCCCAAAGACTGTAACAGGGCAAGAATGTTAGTCTGTGATATGAGGAACAGTTCTAAGCAGTTTGGTATCTATTTTCTGGGTCAGGATGCGCACTCTGGGCGGATACATACATACATATATATATATAGCATCCTTCAACCCCTTGGGCCTAAGGGATGAGGTTGTGGGAAGCCCATGTGTTCTCGTGGTATCGCCACAGCACACGATCTATGAACAGATGAATTGTAGTGAGTCTAGCGTGCAATTTATCCATATCAAGAGTCTCCTAAATTGCGAAGATTGCAGCGAGATCGGCCACCAGATATCAATTGTTTGGGCTGAGGCCAAGGCAACTGAGACAGACAGAAATACATGCCAGACCTATTTACACCTCGGATGTCCTTCACCCGTTAGTATACGAGACAGAGCAGAGCAGAGTATGTATGAAGATGGAATGATATCCCTTAAAAAGACCCCACGAGTGTGAAGACGTTGGTGCTTAATATCCAGGACTGGACAGGTAGTTTCAATGGAGAGACTCTTTTGCTCATCAGGGCCAGTTTTTAAATAATAAGAATATCCACCTGGAGTTACGATGTCGATGCAACTGGCAGTTTGAGGTATCGATTGTGAGTCCAGTGTAGGCTACAAGACTGAGAGTGAGCTCAGATGCCTTTGGGTCTTGAAGATGGCATGGCGGACTTAGTTCGTGGAAGTAAATGGCAAGCTTAAACGAGCAGAATAAGGCGTAATGACTATTCCTTCTTTCCATTGTTGGTCATTGTTGAATGTATACAAAGAACTGTTATCATAAAACGAGCATCAACATATACAGGCTTGCCCGTCAACGGCTCCGCGATGAATGTACATAGCAACACACAAAGCTTAGAACCGACTATAATTACAAAGGTCGCCTAGCCAAGCCGGCTTCCAGGATATGATACAAGAACTCAGAGTTCCTTTGCACCCCAACCCAGTCCAGAATGGTTGCAGGGTAATAAGAGCTCAGACTTCGTAAGTCGTTGAACATCCAAGATATAACAATTACCACTTCACTCCAAAGAAGCTAAGTTTCTTGCCACCCTTGGAAGATGTCGTATCCTCTTGTTCGAGGTAAATTCTCTCGTGACCTTTGATGTCGACAAAGAGATATTTGTACTCAAAGTCACTATGGCCGCGATATTTGACCATATGGAGCCGTGCAATACCGTTATTCTTGGGTCCATCAACCTAAAGCTGTTAATGTCTCTGGTCCATAGACAACCGTATTTGACGTACATAGAAATGCATCATTATATGTTGGTCTCCACGAGCATCTGTCGTTTCCGTAGATCTAGCCCGGTCAGCAATTTGACCTGTTTACAAATGACAATTAAGCTCACGCAACAGGACGCGCCCTCCTCCATTTGTTGAATGTCTCGTCTCCATGTGCTGTAATCTTCTTGGAGTCGCCCATGAGTTCGATTATACGAGGGTCACGTTTGATCTTGTCGACTGCGCGGTTGAAGTTGGAGATCTTGCTATCGGGGGAAAAGACGTCCGTCCAGAGGAAATACGCTACACCACCCTAAAGAAGTACAGTGTTCGTCAATGCCACTTGAATGTGCTGATGCAAAAGCCACTTACAGTGAGGACGAGGCCAACGAGGATCATGCCAAAGTTGAAGCTCTGTTGCGTCGCTCTCGCCGCCTTCTCTCCCACCGAAAGCTCTGTCCAAGGCACATATCCATTATCATTGAACGGCGTAACTGCTCTTCGCTTCGATTTGGAGCTTTGAGGCGCTGCTCCTAAGCCTTGTTGTGTCGCATAGTATCTCGAGACATGGAAAGGTCGAAGCGTTGATGGGATGCCCCGGAAGGCTATTGATCCGGTCGCGATGAGATTTGTGGTAGTCGGTTTCATCCTGGCGATTCGACAATAGCCATTGTACAGAGGCAATTGCCTTGATTAATTGGTCGATTGCGAGTCAGCTAAACTGGGTGATCGAGCTGTTTAACAAGCTCAATTAGAAGCTCAAGTTGCAGGCATCGTTGTTGCGGCTCCACCGCCGGGCAGAATTCGAGGTGGGGTTGCCAGTCGTGGCCAAAACAGGACTAGCGTCCGTCGATATGCCACCTTATCGACAACTGCCCTTGACTACACTTCTCCTTAATTCTCGACTCTTGTCTTGTCCTGTCTGGTCTTAGCAATACGAAATACCCCCCTCAATCCAATTCTGTCCTCTCTTTGACACGTCGCAAATACGCTAGGATATAACTCCCCTTTTTCGCGGTGACGACACCTCTTCTGTTGCTTGCCTTTCTGTGTCACCTCTATACTCCCGCCTTATTACGGCCTAATAGTCAAGATGAGCGCCCTTGCTTCGAAGCAGCAGTCGCTCAAGATCTTTGAGAAGTTAAAGACTAAGCCTGCGAACAAGGCATGTACCTATTAGTTATTTCTGCGCATTCAGGAGAAACGTTAGCTGACCAATGCGCCTACTATCAGATCTGCTTCGACTGCGGCCAAAAGAACCCGACATGGACATCCGTCCCTTTTGGCATCTACCTCTGCCTTGACTGCTCCTCCAACCACCGAAACCTCGGTGTCCATATCTCATTTGTGCGATCAACGAATCTCGATCGTACGTAAACTCTAGCATATTCACTTTCTCACAAAAACAGTGCTGACGAGTTGGAACAGAGTGGCAATGGGACCAGCTCCGAGTTATGAAGGTTGGCGGTAACGAGTCTGCCACCAAGTTCTTCCAGCAGAATGGAGGTACCGCGGCGCTCAACAGTAAGGATCCTAAGACGAAATACCAGTCCAACGCCGCCACCAAGTACAAGGATGAGCTGAAGCGCCGCGCTGCGCGAGATGCCCAGGAGTATGTTTCTACGTCGCAAATAGTACCCCTGTCTTCAGCTGACATGTGTCTAGATACCCCAACGAGGTTGTTATTACTGATGCTACCGACGACGGCGCCGCTACCCCTGCTGGCGAGCCCGACGACGACTTCTTCTCTTCCTGGGACAAGCCTGCTATCAAGCGACCTACTCCTCCTGTCTCTCGCACCGGAACCCCCCCTGTCGTCGGCCGCACTCCCTCTCCCTTCCTAAACACGGGTAACGGCAAGGATATTGCTCGCACAGCTTCGCCTCTGTCCCGATCTTCCACTGGGGATAACAAGCCTGCAAGCCGAATCACCACTTCCGCCGCTCTGCGCAAGACGACCACTTCCACCGGTCCCCGAAAAGCCAACGTTCTCGGTGCTAAGAAGACTACCAAGCTAGGCGCAAAGAAGGTCACTAGCGACGTGATTGACTTTGACGAGGCGGAGCGCAAAGCCAAGGAAGAGGCTGACCGAATTGCGAAGCTCGGTTACGATCCTGATGCTGAAGAAGATCCCGCGACCAAGAATGCCTCTGGATCTGGTGCCGCCATCATCTCTCCCACGCCCGTGAGCCCCAGCCGCGGCACAAGTTCATCGCATACTCGCCAGAAGTCTGACGCTGAAGTTGAGCGATTGGGCATGGGCATGGGCCGACTCGGATTCGGACAGATTGGTGGTCCCAAGGCTGCTGCTGCCCCCAAGAAGAACGCCGGAGGCTTTGGTTCCGTTGGACCTGTCAAGGCCGCTGCTGTTGGTAAGTTTTAGAAAGAATACAAGGACGTAAAACGATACTAATTCGATGGTAGATGACTCGGAGCGATATGCTCGCGACAAGTTCGGTACGCAGAAGGGTATCTCATCTGACGAATTCTTCGGTAAGGGTGCCTATGACCCCAACTCTCAGGCCGAGGCCAAGACCCGACTCCAAGGCTTCGAGGGCGCAACCGCCATTTCATCAAACGCCTACTTCGGCCGACCAGAGGATGAGCCCGAGGAGGAATACGGCGACCTCGAGTCTGCCGCCAAGGACTTTGTGCGCAAGTTTGGTATCACAGCTGGTGACGATCTCGAGAACCTCACACAAATGGCCGGCGAAGTGTCTTCACGACTCCAGGGAGCCATTCGATCATACCTCGGGAACTAGACGAACTTTGCCCCCCATTGGTTCGAGGTTTAGGTTTAGGTGTGCGTGACTGTTTCTCAAGCTGAGGGGCGTCCTGTTGGTGAAAAGGCAGCAGATGAAAGGAACAACCAAAAGAGGCGTACGCCTGTTCGATTATCACTATCGAGCGAGAATCGGCGCGCGGAGAAGATGCTCTTTGGCATGAATCTGGGGTCGGGATGCTTTTTGGAGCTGGCGTACATGTGAAGTCAAAGTTGACTGCTTGGTTACTCGAAGTATGAAATAGATTTGATGTTTTCCTAGTTTACGAAATCAAAAACGTATCATTTTGGTTCATTGTGGTATTTCATACACCGATGAGAGTAGAAGGACCTTCGCAAGGACAGATAGATATCTATTCTAGGCGACGTGATGAGGAATGCTACTCCAATTCAATTGAGGCTGTTAATGGTAAATCCAAGCAAACTATGCTCGTAGTCTACAAATATACTAAAAAAGATCAAGGATAAATGACAAGACATGGTATCTTATAGGTTCTTTACAGCTTGGCAATCATCTTGTTGCCCCTTTGCAACCAGGCAACAGCGTCGTCTACAAATTCATCCACGACAGCCTTGGCAGGCTTCTGCTCGTTGACAACAGCAGCGCACTTGCCCATGAGGTAAGGTCGGTACTTGTCCAACAGATCCTCATCGTCGTCGCTATCGTTATCACTAGCAGCCTCGGCGAGCTTGTCGAGGTCAGCCTCGTAGGGGATAACTCCCTTGGCGACAAGCTCCTTAATCTCGGCCTGACGGTTGACCTCCCAGTCGTTGATGTAGTCGTTGTTACGGACACGCATGGGACGGCCAGTCCAGATGATGGTGCGGATGTTGTCGTCGTGGCCAGCTGTGCGGACGGCCTCCTTGTGAGCCTTGGGGGCACCAGCCTCATCAGTGAGGATGAATCGGGTTCCGACCCAGACAGCGCCAGCGCCCATCATGAGCGCAGCAGCGAGGAGCTGACCGTTGTGAATACCACCAGCAGCGATGACCTGGACGGGGCCGCCGGTGAGAGGAGACTTGTGCTTCTTGCAGATGTCGACAACAGCGGGGATGAGGACGGTTGTGGGGATATCGCCAGTGTGGCCACCACCCTCACCACCCTGAGCGCAAATGATATCGACGCCAAGGTCAAGACACTTCTGGACGTGCTTGACGTGACCGATCATGTTCATGTAAACAATGCCATTGGCGTGGAGCTTGTCGACGACAGCCTTGGGAGGGACACCGACGGCAGAGACGAAGAGCTTGGCGCCCTCCTCGATGATAATGTCGACGAGCTCGTTGAGCTTACCCTTGGTGTAATCGTAGCTGCGAAGTGTCATATGTCAGCGCTTTGTTCGTCACTAGTGAGATCTGCATGTGATCGCAAAATCTCAAGGCCGAGGGCCACGAATTTGGGGCGTCCGGACTTACTTGGTCTTGCGAGCGCTGCCGCCGACCTGGGGGAGGAGCAGATCAACACCAAAGGGGGCGTTCTTGTCGTTGAGGTAGCTCTTGAGCTCAGCGATCTGCTCGCGCAGCATGTCAGGAGTGTATCCGACACCACCAATGACACCGAGACCGCCAGCGTTGGAGACAGCGGCAGCGAGCTTAGGGCCGGCGGCAACGTTCATGCCCGCGAGGAGGACGGGGTGTTGGATCTTGAAAAGATCGGTGATAGGGGTTCGGAGCTTCTCTGTGAGGGAGCATGTTAGCGATCGCTGAGGGATCTGGCGATTGCGCTGATGACGTACGTGGTGAGGCCATGTTGTCTGGTTGTCTAGATGATGCTATCGTGTCGCGTCTAACTTGTTGTTTCTGGTGGTGGGATCAGGAACAAAATTGATTGATAAAGAAACGGAGGAATCGAGAGATGGAGAAGAAATCCGGGGTATAAAAAGAATCAGCAGATAGAGAGGGGGTTTCGCAGGCAGGGAAAGAGGTTAGAAGCACGGTTCGCGATGGCAGGAACTACCTAGGAAGACCACATGCCGAGGTCTAGAGTGTCGTCTCAGCCTGAGCAGGAAGAGTGTGGAGTAGGAACAGTTCCCGCTTTGGGGATAGTGTCACTTTGAATCCGGGGAAGATGCCTCGGGACGAAAGAGGAGAAGCTGTTAACAATTTTCGAAAATGGAGTGAGAATGGCCTGATTCGACTGTTACTGTTGGCGACGGAACTCGGTATACCCGAAGCACCTGCTAAAATGATTGTGCTGTTCTTTTCGTTCTCAAAGAATCGAACCTACCCAAAATGGCAGACTTAGTAATCCCCCATGTTCAACGTCTCTGACATGTGCTCAGTGCTAACGGCGGAAACAGTCAGCAAAGACCAGACTCAAAAGACCCCGTGACATGAATCGTAACGACCACCTCACATGCATCGCATTCCCCGTACAGTCAGCTCGGAAATGCAAGAGCTCTACCGCGTAGCCCTATGCCGCTCTCGTCAGCTTATTTTCTCCGCCAAAAGTATCGCAACATCCGCTACAGCCTCAGCGTCAGCCTTTCAGAATTCAAGAGCTGTTAGCACCGTTGAAAGGCACTATCCCCACCCCTAGTGTCTCGTTAACGCAAATTTTCTCGGCTTCAATCCTCCGAACTCACTCAACAACATGCTCTGAATCGTCAGTGATGTAGCTGAAGCAGCACCGCTCACCATGAGACAACCTCTTCTCCCATCGCGGTTGCTCGCTCAGAGCCTCAGAAGCAATTGTCACCATGCTTCTCCCAGCTCTGTCCTGGCTTTCGCCCCGGTATTGCGATGTTCGTTGACGTCAACAAGGCCTCACCAGCGATCTTATGTCCACCATGCGCGCCTCCGTCCTCTTGTAAGGTGCAGCATGCCTAATCTTAAGCTCAATGCCTGTGGATGTGCTTGTGCAAGTGGAGGTGGCTGTGGGAGCAGCGGACCGCAAAAGAAGACGGCATATATCGCTCTTGGAAGTAATATGGGAGACAGAGTTGCTGAGATTGAGCGGGCATGCAACGAGATGGACCGCCGAGGAATCAAAGTCAAGAGGACCAGTAGCCTCTGGGAGACAGAGCCCATGTATGTTACCGACCAGGATCGCTTCGTCAACGGCGCTTGTGAGGTATGTATATCAAAAACGTCCTCTCTCGTTCCCGCGCTGACGAATCTACTAGGTCGAGACAGAACTTGACCCCATAGCTCTTCTAGATCAACTGCAAGCCATTGAGAATGACATGGGGCGAAAGAAGGTTATCGACAAGGGTCCGCGTAACATTGATTTGGACATACTTTTGTACGGCGACGAAAAGGTTGACCACGAGCGGCTCAAGGTTCCCCATATCGGCATATTGGAGCGAGAGTTTGTTCTCAGACCCCTGGCCGAGTACGTTGCACAGAAAAAAACAATCGAGGTATTCTAACGGCAAGTTGCAGACTCATTCCCGCAAAATCATTGGATCCGACGAAACCATGGAAGCTCATCCAGGATAATCTAAATGAGCTGCCCCTTGGCGAGCCACTGTCTTCCATGACACCGCTTTCTTCGACGGCAGGATCTTTGACGCCTCTTGCTGCAAAGCGCAAGACCCATGTCATGGGCATTCTCAACTTGACGCCGGATTCGTTTTCAGATGGTGGCTTTCACGATCGAGATAACCTCGCTCAGACTATTATGAATATGGTCAACAACGGGACTTCGATTATTGATGTTGGCGGCCAGTCAACTGCCCCTGGCCGAACAGAAGTATCAGCCGAGGAGGAAGCATCCCGCGTTGTGCCTGCTGTTCAGCTGATTCGATCGATTCCTGAAGCTCGTGATGTGGCTATCAGCATTGACACGTATCGTGCATCCGTTGCCGAGGAAGCTATTGCTAGCGGAGCAGATATCATCAACGATGTTTCTGCTGGTCTGCTGGACCCAGATATGCTTTCTACCGTCGGCCGTCTTGAGAAAACGATATGTCTGATGCATATGCGCGGGACGCCGCAGACCATGACAAAGTTGACCTCGTATCCAGACGGACTTATTCCCAAAATAGCATCAGAGCTTCTCGAGCGCGTAGCAGCGGCCGAGGCAGCGGGTATCCGGCGGTGGCGCATGATTCTGGACCCGGGTATCGGCTTCGCCAAGACGGGAGAGCAGAACCTCGAGATTCTTCGACGGCTGGAGGAGCTGCGATACTGGCCGGGGCTTCAGGGCCTGCCGTGGCTCGTTGGATCGAGCCGGAAGACTTTTGTCGGCAAGATCACGGGCGTCACGGAGCCGAAGCAACGGACTTGGGGCACGGCGGCGACGGTGGCAGCGGCGGTTCAGGGCGGTGCGGACATAGTGAGGGTACACGACACGCAGGAGATGGGCATGGTGGCCAAGATGGCTGATGCTATCTGGAGGGTATGAGACTATGAGTACCTTGGGAAGAAAGAGTGCAGCTGGTTGGATGTCTACGGTGTGTGTTGAATATGCATGAATATAGACGGAAGAGACAGAATGGAAATGCATATGCAAAAGGGAGGCATCTAGATTTAATCAGTGGTCAATGTCTTTTGATATCAACATTTTTTACTCTCCATTTATATCTTGCTTGGTTCTGATTTTTCTAAGTCTAAACCAAAATCACATCACATCATTTTTCGTTAAACTGATAGAAATGACTGACTCGTAAACCAAGAGTCGTATTGATTTTTCTCACGTTAGACTGTTGTGTCTGTCAGATATCAGAATCTCGCGTCCTTGCGAGTCACACCACCCTAGACCATGTTCTGGTCCTGGTCCTGACCCCGGCCGATTTCAAATCCCTTGTAGGCGCTGCCCTCTCGTAGCCTATATTTTCAAACCGGCGTCCGAGAAGGGCCTCATGAGTGGGGACATGTTGGCCAAGGGAGGCAGGGATGCGTCACCGGTGAAAAGACCTGCATGAGCCTCAAATCCAGGGTTGGGCGACTTTTTCTCTTGGCGTTGATTAGTAGAGACAGAGAGTGAGACAAAAGCAAATAGAACGAGAGAGAAAAAAGTGCCTGGGGGGGGGGGGGTTTTGTCTCCCAAATTTGACATGTCCCTTTTTCTTTTTCTTTTTCTTTCTTTGTCTTTTTTTTTTTCTTTTTTTTTTTT